GGTTTCCATCTTTGCAGATATGGGGGGCATCATCATCCGTGCTAGCATGAGATGTTTTCATGGTGTGGCTGCTTTGGGGTCACCCACACTCCTGTAAGCAACACCCCATCCATACTCTGTAAGCCCAATAAACTCATTGGTTCCCCAAGTTGGACTTTGGTAGAATTGTACTTTGGTTTGTCCTTGGTACCCTATAAAGAGGAGGTAAATATTTCTATTTCCTCAGGGAGAATATCTACAACATCAGGCACTAGCCTCCTTGCTTGCCCAGGTTACCCCCATCTTCCCCTTGTCCCACCTCTAAAGACGACAGTTCTCTATCCATCACACAAGTGTTTCTACTTCCTCTGCACTTGGAAAAAATCGTCCATCTCTGCAGGCCTCCTCACCCCCCAAAGTATCAATAATCTTACTTCTAAAGAGTCATAATAGACAATGTTGGTTCTTGCCAGGCGGCGGTGGCGCACACCTTTAATTTCAGCACTCGGGAGGCAGAGCCAGGCGGATCTCTGTGAGTTCGAGTCCAGCCTGGTCTACAGAGTGAGTTCCAGGACAGGCTCCAGAGCTACACAGAGAAACCCTGTCTTGAAAAACCGTAAAAAAGAAAAAAAAAAAAAAAAAAAAAAGAGTCATAATAGGCAATGTTGGTTCTCAGGTACCTGAAAGCTGGTCGGTTTGTTTGTTTGTTTGTTTTGGGGGGAGAGTTGGAATCCTTGACAGAGCTGCTAGCAATAAGAGCTCCTGAGCCTGGTCTAGAGCCCTGAGCCTTCTGTGAATTTCCGTGGGACGGCTCAGAAGCCAGTGGTCATACTAGCAGAGGATGGGGCGGCGATGGCCCAGGAAGAGATGGCACTTGCCCAAGATGCTCCTTCCCTCGCCATGAAGCCAGAGCCTTGGCCCATAGGAGGAAAGAGTCCCCAGGAGAAGCTGCAGAACCCCCCTCCCCTGAGCAGTCAGCAGGTGGGACATGTCCTTCCATAGTTAAGAAGGAGCTTCACCAAGGGGTCTCACACTGCAGACCTATGCTGTCCAACTTGCCCTGTGCTCAGGTTGCACCGGTCAAATGGAAGAGCTGTCTGAGGTTTCAAAGGTGGGTCCTCGCTAGCTTTGCAAGACTAGACCCCTGCCTCCAGCCGGACCTACGCTGGCTCTCCAGGGCAGGTAGAGCTGGAGCCTGCTACTATAACTACAGGGACTACCCTGGGAGAATTTGACTCTTTAGTATATCCTTTCCTAGACCAGCAGGTCAGGAAAACCAGGACGTAGAAAAAGTGAGGATTGAGGACCAGGGCTCTGGGGCTACTGCGTAGGGAGGACTTGGTATGGCTCTGGCCCCCACCCCAGGTACCCTCTTCCCCAAAACTCTCTTGGCCACCCAGACCCCAAGATGCTGACTCCCATCTACGTCTACCCAGCAGCCTCCTGAGACTTGGTAGAAACATCCATCAGTGTGGCTTGGGGCACTCGCACTGTGGCATCTGCTAGCTGGGTGACTCCAGGCACCTATCTGTAAAGCAGGACTGATGGCATTCACAGAAAGGAAGAGGCTGTCTCTTTCCCGGTTCCACTACTCCAACGCTGCAGTCCTTCCTTCTCTTGGTTCCTTGCCTTGGACATCCCGCTCTCATCCCATTTCCAGTGGGTGGGTGGCTTCTCTCATCCACGGGCTACCTGATTGGACTCTGGCATTGTCACTTGTCAGAAGGGCCATCCTGAGTCCAATCTGTACCCTTATTTCCTCACTTGTATGGATTTATGGCCAACAGCTCGGCTGCTGGGGTTATACAAAGCGCTGAGTGAGCTGGCCAATGATAATGAGAAGGCAGGTGATACAGACAGCAGAGGGGTCCAGCTGAGCTGCAGCATCACTTGCCTGTGTTGTGCAGACACAAGACAATCGACTTCCCTGGCTTCCAAGCCATGCCAAGTCTAGGTATGATAAGAGTCCCAGCGTCTGGTAGAAGGCACCCCCTTATGGGAACCCCTTGGGCAGCCTACCTGCCAAGAGTTTGATGGTAAACCAACAGATCTTTCTTTCTGGGACCAGGGTTGGGAAGTGGAACACACCCCTTCATTGCCCAGTCATGGTCCAGAGGTGACAGGCTGGGACACAGGCTGTTAGCTCCTCAGAGAGGCAGCTTTGGGGCCATTCAGCTGTGATACTGTCATCCAGGCCTTTCTAGCGTATGCTGTTCACCTAGCCACCGCTTTCTGAGATAAAAACTGGTCGATGCTCATCGTATTCTCTTTATTCCCACTTTTATGCCCTCCTCCTACCCCATCCTATGGAGTGTTCCCAGATCCAAGCATTAGATCCAGTCACAAAAAAAGAAGACTAAAACAGGGTGGCTGATGACGTTGACCAGTTTCACCTTTGTTACACAAGTGCCATTATACCATCTGGCCAGGTGGACTTAGCTGTGAGCAAGGGTGAGTGTCAGAGAAAGGGCCCTATGGTAAGATATGAAACTCACAAGCCCAGGATCCTATTGAGGACAGCTGATGGGGTCAAGACGCTCTTGTGAGCCCATTTAGAAGAGGCTAGACTATACCAGGTCCCAGCTGGGCTTCCCATAGCCAGTCCTAACTAGGTAGTGTAAAGGGCTCAGTCCTCAGAGGACCAACCTTCTAGCTTGATTTGCGCCCCTCCTGTCATACCGTCTAGTTTCACCTATAGCTCAGTTGCTTTCATTTTCCAAGCACGTGGATCTTGGGGACAAGGCTGCCTGTGACCACTGCAAGCGCGCAACCCCCCAGAGCGGTGGTGGCGGCTCCAACCGAACTCACACCCACCTTTCTGTGCTGGGTGCCTTCTCCGGACATTGCGTTTATGAATCCACGGCAGGACCACCGACCTGAAAAGGCTGCCTCTACTTCCCAGGCCAAAGGATCACCATGCTCTGTGGGGAACAGGCAGGCCTCCAGGGCAAGAGATCCAGGATTCCTGCATGATGCCTTTTACATGGCAGGTAGCAATGACTGCTGGAGAAAGGGACTGCAGTTTCACCTTCCTTTCTAGTTCATGCAACTCAGTGCCCGTAGGGCACAGCGGTGTAACACAGGTAGGCACACAGTGAGAGTATAAGGCTCTCTTGAGGGGCCCATGAGCCCCTAGGGAGCCCCATCAGACAGTAAAGGCGAGGCGACTGCACATCTTAGGCCCAGCTGCCACTGGGGCTAAGGCTGTTGTGCAACAGGATATACTGTACTGCAAGCCCCAGAGTTATAGGACCTATTGCTGAGACATATGGGCACCTGGGCAAAGCAGCCTCCTCCACAACCAGGACTCAGCCACCAGCACCTCTGTCTATGGCATGTAAAGAACACCAGCATATGCCAGTCTAGGAAAAAAAAAATGCACTTTTAAAAAATAGTGCTGTTCTTTGGACTCAGGGTCTCGGGCATCCTAGCAAGCACCATAGCATCCCTAGTCTGAGATGACACCTTGGCACCTTCTCATGGGCGTCTCCCTAGCCCAGTTGGTGGTAGTATACAGACACAAACCTGGCAGGAACTGTCTGTGACCCAGTCAGCCCACAGTTGTTTATAGGGCAGCAGCAATATGGGGCCATGGAAACTTCCTGGATCTTGTGTCCCCAGAGGAAGGGGGCTTGGACAGTTAGAGAGGCTCGTGAGAGGTCTCACTCCTGGGCCCGCCTAGTCTTTGTCAACTCTAGTCTATCCGGGCCCAGGCCAAAGGAGGAAACACAATAGAAAGGACGAAGACAGAAACGGATGGAAACCTCTCCAAAAGAATAGTACAGGTAGCCTAGGCTGGAGCAGCTACTAGAGGCTATCCAGGCTGGATGTAGATCCAAGGCCCAGGCAGGTCTGCCTCTCTGCAGACCTGGAAGTAGGTCTATGAAAGCCTGATGGCAGCTCCTAGCCTGGGTGCCGGGCTGATATGGAAGCTGCTGATATAAATACATTAGGCTTCTGAACCCCCACCCAAGTTGCTAGTGCTGGAGACCCTCTACCAACCATGACTGCCCAAGGTTCTCTAGGTCTTTAGGCTTGAGGCGGCCAGGGACATAGGTGACCAGATGGGCTCCAGTGTGTACAGATGGAGTCTGCTACCTGAGCCTCCGTTCTCTTGTTCCATGTTGTCCCTCAGTTCTTAATATTTGTGTAGATTTTTTTGACTGGGGTGCAGTGTGGTTCCAAGTAGCTGTATTCTTGGACTTACATGGAGACCACTTTTGGAGACCTCATCCAAGGCTCCATCCATTGCCAAACTCTTGCATCCCTAGCCCTTCCCTACTTCATGTTTTCAAGGCTCAGACTATGAGGAGAGACATGAATAAGGGGAGAGTACAAGGACAGGGGCTCAGGACAGGATTTCTGCAAAGGCAGTATTGCCCCTCCCTAAGGCACAGGGGCCTCAGCTCTAGACCACCAGGAGCAATCTGAATCCACAGCTGGACAGAGCAGCAGAGCGATTCAAAAGTTGGACATTCCCCTGAGCCTTTTCGCCTTTAACCTGGGCCAATCCAGCAATGGTTCCCTGGCAACACCCTTGGCAATACCAGGAGGTGGATGAGTCTAGGGAGAGGGTAGGAGTTGACTCTAAGGCACTGCAGAGTTCCCAGATGGTTGCAAAGGCTATGGCCTGTTTCCAGGTAGATCAGATAGCCCTAGAGCTAGACAGAGTGGTTTGTGGTTTCTTGTCCTGCCATTGGTCAAGTCACCTGGGTCCAAATTCAAACACTTGCCAACATCATGAATAGAAGATCTATCCAGAATGGAGATTTGTTTTTTTGAAGGACTAAAAACCCAAGTGGAACAGAATCTACTATACTCTGCTGCATCCAAAACCTCACCAAGTACTGGGTTTCCATTTCCCCACTTGCCAGTCTCTTGTGAGCACACCACCCCGGCCAAGGGATCGGGGCCTAGTTTGGGCTCTGACCCATCACAAGGGCCTTCAGGTATTAGAGCAAGGGCAAGAGAGCCCAGAGACCACCTCACTCTGCCAGCACTCATGCTTCTCTATGAAGAGCATCTTTTAAAACAGGTTTAATGTGTTTTTGTTTTTAAAACAAAACCAAGTGCTTTCCCACTGAGATGAGAACAGGTAGCACCAGGGAGGCAGATGAAACAGAAGCAGCAGCCTCATCCAGTGCACATGGGGGTAGGGGTGAGCCCCATAGGGGCCAGAATGGAGGTCCAGTCAACTGTTCCCCAGTAGGTGCTTGTGCTTATGGGCCCACATGTGCCTACCCGGCAAAGAGCATTTGCTTCTTTAAGCTATTTCCCCAAGACGCCGTGGATCACGGGGCAGGGCATCCTTTACCAACAGAACTCCTCCAAGCTGTGTTGGGCTGGCACCCCTGGACCTCTACAGTGGACTATATACCAGGGAGAAAAGGCGGAAGATGGCAGACTGTGTATGCCCCCTCTCTCCCAGTGCAGCAGGAAAAAAGACCAGTGGGCCACAGTAGTCACACGCCATCATGAGAAGCTGCTGGTGAGGGCGCAAGGCCTCCAAGCCTCCGTGCCATGGTAATGAGGGAACGTAGCTGCACTAGCCTCAGGGGCCCCACTTCTCTAGGATCCTGGCTCTCCAGCCACCTCAGGGCTGTCTCTAGACCCCAAACAGCTTCCCCAGCCGTAGGTACCAACATTCCTCCTTGCTCAGTGGCCTCGTCCTCCTCCTCTCCAGCCCCCATGCTAGACGGCAGGCTGGCTGGGGATGGAGGGGCCGCGGGGACCACCTCCTCTCCGCAGCCCTCAGGGAGACCTCCATCATCGTCCAGGTGCAGCCACTGGGCCACCTCTTCAGGTGCCAGGCGCTGGTAAGCCAGAGCTGCCAGATGTGTGAGGTCACTGAGCACCCTGCTGTGTTCAGCGGCCTCCTCGACCTGGTGGGATGGCTGCTGCCCAGGCTCAAAGGCTGCCCGAAGACCCAGCAGCCAGCAGCGCTCTATGCTGCCTGCCTGGACCAGGTCCCAAGAGAGGCCAGCCAGGTATAGCATGTCCTTGAGCATGAAGCTTCTCATGAAGTCCAGTGGGGAGCCACTGGCACAAGACACAGCAAGCCTCAGCAGCTCTCGTTTGTACAAATGTTTGAAGGCAGCCACCACACCATGTTCCAGCGGTGCAGGGATGTGTGCCCGGCTGCTGCCCTTGGACAAGAAGAGCACTCGAACGGCACCATCAGGTGTCTGCAACTCCTCCGGGGACCCAAGGAGCTCAGGCTGGCACTGCCTGGGAGTCTCCCCACTCTCTTCCAGGGCCGGCATCCTAGTGGCCCAGCTTGGACAGGGCGGATGGGCCACCAGCAACACAGCTTTCTGTTGCAGGCAGCTTCGGCGCAGGTAACGCTTGACGCCAGGGACAAATTCCTCAAAGAACCAGCCCCGAAGAAGAGGACGACTGAGCCAGGCATCCGGACTGTAGCGGTAGGAAGCTGGGAACTTGTCCTGGTTGTGGTGACGCAAGCTAGGTGGGTCTGGTAGCTGCCCGATGACTAGTGGCTTTAACTTGTGGCTGCCCGTCAGGTTGGCGGCCAACAGTACTGTCACTCGGTCGCCGGGCCAGCGCCGGCTGCACCCACCAGGCCCGCTGGAGTTCCCAGTGCCCGGAGTTGCGGCCTGCTCCGGAAGTAACCTCCAGTAGAGACCAGTAACGTTGGCATTGTAGATCTGCTCGTCACCATAGCCGCCCTCGGAGTGGGGTAGAGTGGCCAGCGCACGGTCAGGTAGAACTGCGCCGGGTGGCTGTGCAGGCTCCTCCTTGACAGGCGCAGGGCCTGCGGCCGGGGGTTCAGCCTCGCCATAGATGCGCTGGCTGGAGATGCCATGGCGCTTCTGCCAGCGCCAGAACCAGCCATGGCTAGCCTTGAAGGTACACTCGGGGCCATAGATCTGGCGAGCAAAGGCCTCAGCCTGAGCTTGGATGACCGGACCGGACAGCGGCACGCCGTGCTGGCGCAAGGTGAGGAACCACGAGTAGACGGCGCGGTCGATCTCCTCCTCGTTGGCCAGACGCATCTTCTTGCGCTGCGTGCCCACCTCTCCACCAAGCTGGTCCAGAAACCAGCGCAGCTTGGGCTCGTCCTTGAGCCAGCCGCGCAGCGTGCCGCCCGGTACGCCGAAGTCGCGGCACACGCTGGCCTGCCGCTCACCGCCCTTGACGCGCTCGATGGCCTGCAGCTTGTCTTTGATGGAGTAGGCCTTGCGGAAAGTCATTTTTACGGCCACGCGGGGCCGCGGCCCGGGCGCGGTGGGCGGCGGGCGCGCCGTGGGACCCTGGCCGGCAGCGGGCGATCGCTGCGGCTCGGCAAGGCGCCGGGGCGGGGGAAGACGAGCGCGATGAGGGACCGGGTGCAGGGCCGGGCCGGCCGGTGAGCTCGTGGGGTACATGGCGTCGGGGGGTGGGGGACCACCGGGCTAGCGAGCCTGACACCCCGCGCGGGCTGCTCGGGGCGGGGCTCGGGGGCGGGGCTGCCCGGGTCCCTCCCTTTTGTCTCGCCAGCCCTGCAGGCACAGGCGCGCTACTCCCGCCCCTCCGTCTCAGGGCGCCTGCGCAAGGCCTGGACTCGGGCGCGTCACCAGCGCGTGCGCACACCAACTCCGTTTCGTGCCGCCCTAGTCCGGCCGCTCCACTCTTCGGGCTGTGCAGGGGTGTTGCGTGTTGGGACGCCCGGTTCTCGGCTGTTTGTGACAACTCCTCGGGTGAAGTGCGGCGCCCGAGGTAGCTGTCCCCTGGCTTCTGCCGTAGTGGTTCCTGCATGCATCGTGGTGCATGCTCCGCGGGCGAGGCAGCGCGTGCTCAGGGTTGTGTCCCCCGCCGGGCCTCTCGTGGTCTGTGCCGCTGCGTTTTCCGGGAGCTGCGCGGTCGCCTTCCCTTTCCTTTGCAGTCCTGAGCTCGCAGTTCCAGGTTTTGGTTGCTGCGTCCTTGGCTGGCGTGTGAGTACCGTGGGCCCCGCCTCAAGGAGCGCACGTGCGGCAAAGGCTGGAGTGCCCCGGGCCCGCGCCGATAGGGTTGGCTCCAGCGGATCAGTGAGGGCTACGGGCGGGCGTCCGGTCCTGTGTCGGGCCGGCCACATGGTTGCTAGCTTCCTGAGTTCTGCTTCAGGCGGCCTGCCACGGCCATGACTGACACCCTTGCCGGGTCAGCGTTCGTCTGCCCCAGCTGTTGCCAAGGTCTTAGGTCCTTGCGGTTAAGCACCGAGGACATACCGAGCCTTAGGCATAGAGAGAACTTGGCTTCGGGTGCAGCCTCGTGGAACTTAGGAGGCCCATGAACACGGGGTAGAGAAGAGGCATGTGATGCCGACTGGCTCAGAGTGTAACAGGGCGACGTACTGATTTGAATAAGATGGTTTGGGCAATTTTCTTGGGAAAGGGTCGTTGAAGGGTAGGGCCGTTCTTTTTCTAATACGTGAGCGCTCCTAGCATCATAGTTTTCTAGAATAAAAGGCTGCCTCGCAGCACAAGAACTTGTTGAAGCTAATCTTGGGGTGCCACACCCCAGAGGTGCTTCTGAAACGTCCCTGTCACTCAGGGTTAACTGGGTCCTACCTCAGGCGGATCTTCTTGGATGAAGCGAAGGATGGATGTGACAGGACTACCAGGTGCCCCCTGAGCCAATCCCATGGGGCAGCAGAGTCGAGAGGAAGAAGCCCTCAAAGGGACAAGGAGTCCCCTCCCAGGCTCTGTGGTGGCTAGTTCAGCACGAGCCTCCCCTTGGACTGCTGGAGACTTCAGTAAACAGTTGGAGAGTTGGCAGAGGGAGCCACTTACACTTTCTTAACCTGGGATGTGTGCTCTGCATGACTTTCTGTCCTCTCAGGAGGAAGCTGGTACAGGGCTAGTCCCTCCAGGCTCAGCTTTTGGATAGCTGAGGCTCCGGGGGTTACTACAGATGAAGCGGAGGTGCTTGAGAGGGTTTGGGTTTGGTGGTCAGAAAGAGTGGTTCCTGGGGGCTGACGGAAGGAGATAATGGCATTGAGCATTTCTGTGCCAGAGATCTCAGATGGTATGTGCTTGTTGAAGGTTGGAGTCATTGAGACATTTGTGTGGAATACAGGTAATGGAACATGCCTTGGTCTGTAGCTCCACTCATAACACAAACTCAGCGGATTTGGGTGGTTAGACCAATCAGAGCCTTCATTTTCCTTTCTGGGTCTAAGATGTCCCACATCCATCTCCCGCTTAAGTGTGAGGTTTGGCACAGGTGTGTTAGCAAGTGGAAAGGAAGAGCTGAGAAAGGAAGAGCTGTCTAGCAAGCCCCAAGACCTGTGTGTCAAGTCAGGGTACCACGGGTTAAAACAGAATTAGAACTAACAAACAATGGCATTTGGGACAAGGAGATTGGGGCTGCCTGGGCTTCGGCTGGGCGTTAGCTTCTGGGTCTCAAGATGGGCAAACAGCACAGGCCAGTGTTTCTAAGTAGGACTGGGATATCCCAGGGGCAGAGTGGGAACTTGGAGATGTAGAATTTAACCCATGAAAAAAGACCCAAGGCATCATCACTCCTGTGCCTAGCAATGTGGCTACCCCACTGTTGGGACTAAAAAGCTAACCTTTGCTCCTGAGCCCTCCACATTCCAAGGGCTACCAGCTGCTCCTTTGGACACTTGACACAGAAAGTCTTGATGGGCAGCCCTGGTTCACAGACTCGGGCTAGGTGAGCCCAGAGGGTGTTGCTATTGGGGTAAAGGGGTATGAGTTAGGCTTGCTGGCAGACCCCATTCCCTACTCACCTTCCTCATGAGGACAGGTAGTATCGGGAGCCCAACAGTGATATGACTGATGGAGTGACATGCTATTTCGGAGTGTCCAGAGGACAGAAGATACGGGGCTGAGGGCTCAGAAAGCCAGCTCCTAGGGAGATTTTCCCTATCGCTCCCAGCACGCGGAACCCTTCAGATGTGTGCTACTGTGGTGGGGCACCGCCGTGACATACCAGTTCTCAGCTTCTCAGGGTCCAGCCCCCAAGCCAGAAGTGTCCTTGGCGGGAGCCGCTGCCTGGTCTAAACGAGTAGAAGCTATGAGAGTCATAACACCCGTTCTCTTTGCAGAGCAGATGGAGGTTGGCCCTCGGAGGCTGCAGCTGGCCAGTAAGCTCTTTTGGCAAATTCCTTGTGAGTGGGGTTAGGGCTGGGTGCCTAGCTGTTGAACATATCTCAGGACCTAGGACCTATCGGGCCTGTCTGCCACTCGGCCTTCTTCCAGGGCCCTCCAGAGCTCAGGCATAGTCTCTCTCTCACGCAAAGGGTCTTGACAGCTCACCTCTGGTGGCCAGTCTTGCATTCTAGACTTCAGCCTATATCTGAGAGCAGGGCAAGGACTGCTTAGGCCATTTCTTTCTAGGTCCTTTGATGTGTCTGAGCCTGCATCTCCGGAAGTTGGCTTTCCTTTCTGGTACTTCAATCTCTTTGGCATGTGTTTCTGTTCTTGTCCAGATAAAACCTCAAGAGAAAGAAAGGGCAACCCTGTTGTAGGGATGTGGGTATTGGCAAACCCGTGCTTGTGGGGGTTTGAGAAATTCACTGCTACATGTTTCCAGACTATTTTTCCTGGACAACTGCAGGTTTGCATATGAGTGTCCTCCAGGGAAGCGATGGCGTTCAGGTATGCCCAGTCTGGGCGCAAACTGGCTAACGTCCTCAGCCGATCGTACACCTGTTGGGAAAGCAGGTTGGGGAAGACCTTGTCCCTTGGGAGCCTTTGCTGTTTGTGCTGAGGTCTTGGCTTGGCATCCCAATCCAGAGGTGGCACCGTTTCAGTAAGAGGTCCAGTACCAGTGTGCACACTGGACCTTGGTGGCACCAGAGCCCACAGCTTGGAGCTATCTGGACCTGGACCACTTGGTCCCTTGGAGATAGGGCAGTGGGGGGGAGTGTCCTTATCTTCCAAAGCCTTGCCAGTGAAGGGAAGACGCTGGTCTTCTTCCACAGCTAAGGGGTCATCTGTAGGTGCTAGCTCACCTTGATGCAGGCTGTAGGCTCAGAAAAGGACAGGAGTGGGAGCAGGCAGCTTCCATGGTGGTTTCTGCTTGTCTCCTAGATAGTAGGAATCCTAAGAGCTACATATCAGGGGCTAACGGAAGAGTGCTGCCCCTCAAAGATGAGGACCAGGCAGCCACCTGGGATTTGGTGGTGCATCTCATTTTATCCTCTTCTGCCATTCCACCTTGACAAGCAGCTTCTGAAAGGCCAGCCAGGCTGCCCAAGCTGCTGTCTGCCGTGGGTGGCCTTGCCCACTCCTCTAACCTTGCTGCTTTTCCTTCATGCTGTCCTAGGAGGCCAAAGCAAAGTAAGTACACCTGCAAAGTGCCCTGTGTCTCCCTTCACCTGCGCCAAGGAGCCCCCAGCCACTGCCTTGCCCGAGGGAGGCATACCCATGCCGAGTTGAGCTTGCTGGGACAGGGCAGTGGTGTAGTTAGCTGTTCTGGTGGCAAGTGGGTACCCATGTGGCCCTGACACCGAGCAGGCCAGCACGTAGCCCTCCGCCCTATGGAGAAGTGGTGGCAAGTCATGAAGATGTGGCCTAAAGAGGTGGCCCTGTCCCTTCTAGGGAGAGCATTGGAAGTAGCTACATCTGTTTCCTTTAGGAGGGTTCCAACCTAGTCCTAAGTTTGGTGGGGGGCATTGCTAAAGGGAATGGTCAGCCCAGACCGGTAGTGCTCCACAAGAGCAGAGCAGCCTCAGGGACCGAAAGCCAGGAGGTGGGCGTCAGTCAGGTCCTGCTGTGATGGCATGCACTGCCCCCTTGGCGACAGTGGGTGATGTCACAATGCTCTGCCTCCTGGGATCCTCCTCAGTCCCTGCCCCTGCCCCTGCCACTTGGCCTTGGTAAGTAAGGGGGTGGCCTAGAGACCTCTCTACGCTGGGCCTCTGGCTCCTGGCCCTGGCTCCTCACAGTAGAGAGAGCTTGGGTGGGCAGTACTAAAGAACTTTAGATCTCCCTTGGAGGTAGGCTTCAGGGTATGACAAGTAGAGTTTTCCAAGGTCCTGAGCAGAGGTTAGATTTGGATAGCTTAACGCTCTTCCAGTTAAGTGTTTTGTTGGTGTATTAGGAAAAGATCCTAGACGGTGAGATGAAGGTTTGCTGTCCAGCCAAAGGATTCCCTTCCACTCCCTGAGAGCCCAGCAGATGGCCTAGGTGTTCCTTACAGACCCGCAGAAGCATCAAGATAGCAGCATCTATAACCCTAGTCCTCGAGTTCTGTTAGTTGAGTCCAGACTACCAAAATCTTGAAAGGACCACCCTACTAGAGCAGGGTGGCACTAAGAGTTCCCTTGTGGCCTTCTGGGTTGGCTGGTAGAGCCTGGAACCTCTCTCTTCCATGGTGCAACATTCGGCTTCAGGAGTAGTGGAGGCAGGTCTTCCTCCCTGTGGCTGTTGGTCTGTGCTTCAGAGTCACACCCTGCCGAGGGAGCAGGTACCTAAAGTCACACAGAGCTTGAGGTCACACCACGTCCAATAAGGAAGCGGAGACCCCTGGGGCAAGGGTCTTGTCCACTGATTACCGTCTCGAGTGGGATATCTTATCCTGAGACTCTGGGGTCTCCTTATGACCCTTTGGGTCAGAGGGATTCAGAGTTGTAGTCTGGTGGCCTCCTGATGGGGAGGTGATGCCAACTGATTAAGGAGCCCTGTTGGTGGTGGACACTCAATCCCTGACCCATCCCGGTGAGGTCAGTCAGGCTCACAGAGACACTGTCCCTTTTCCTAAGACTTGCCCCTGCTCCAGAAAGGCACCCGGGTCTGGGTAGGGTTGTGTGACCAGGATAGGTGCGGGTGACTTTCAGTGATGGGCCGCTTGCTGGTGCTCCATCCACCTTGGCAGTCACAAATCCCTGTCGCTGAACTGGAGACATCAGCCACCTCAAGGAGGTGTCAGGTTCAGCATATGCAAAGCACAGCCCCATGTAAGTTTGATTTCAGTAAACCATGAGTAATTTACTAAAAGTAAGCATACAACATCTCATGGGATGTGTTGACACTAAAAAACAAAAAGAAACCGTAATTGTTTATATTAAAGCCCATTGTCAATGAGTGCAGCTGTTTTATTTGCCACCCTATCTGGGGGCCCCGGGAGAGAAGGTATCTGCTGAGTTTGGAGGTGGTGTTAGATCCCTTTCTGAAGCTATGGGCTTGTTGGGTTAGCAAAGGCAGCATATGCAGTCATAAGATGTGGGTGTTTGCATAAATGCGTATGCTACTTTTGGTTTACCGAAGCTCCTGGTGTGGATTTGACTTTTGTGCCCCTGCATGTCATCTGGCAGAGCCCCTTCGAGTGCCTTGCCCTCTCCTTTCCCCGGGCCTCCCTGCCCACCCTTGCCTGCCAGACTGAGGAGGGCGAGGGAGGCAGGTGCCTCTGCTGTGTTGCAACTGCCCTTCTTGTGCTTGCTTTTTAATGCTGCGTCCGAAGATGAGGAGCGGGAAGGCCTCTTGTGCGCTGGAGACCGTCTGGGAGGACAAGCACAAGTATGAGGAAGCTGAGCGGCGCTTCCATGAGCATGAGGCCACGCGAGCCGCCGCCGCCGCCTCTGTCCAACAGCTCCTGGCCAAGGTGCCAGCTGTGAACGGGCCCAGCCAGGAGGACATAGAGGACACCGACGAGGCAGAGGCCCCCAACACCAGCAGCAGGAGTGATCCCAGGAAGAGCCATGAGTGCAAGAAGCCCCTACAGAAAAAGAGGAAGCGATCCCCCAAGAGTTGGCTTGGCCAGGCGGACCTGGCCCTCGTGGGCCTCTCAGCTGACCACGTATGGCTGGACAAGCCCCTCTTCGACCAGGCAGAAAGCTCCTACCGCCAGAGGCTGGCAGATGTGGCCGCCCAGGCAGCCCAGCCGCCTGCTCTGGCCGCTCGGGGCCCCTGTACGCATGGAAGCCATGTGGCCTGCCACCATGTGATCTGGGGGGTCTGGGTCAACAAGTCTTGCTTTGATCAGGCTGAGCGGGCTTTTGTGGAGTGGTCTCAGGCCTTGCTGCTGGCTGTAGAAGGGAGCCACAGGCAGGGGACTCCTGACACGGGCCAGCCGGCTGTCTCTCCTGATCTGGCCTTGGCCTGCCAGCCTTGCCTACCAGCTAACGGCCAGCCTCCTCTGGGCAGCCTGCAGGCCCTGGTGCGGGAGGTGTGGCTGGAGAAGCCCCGGTACGATGCAGCGGAAAGGGGCTTCTATGAGGCCCTGTTTGATGGCCACCCCCCAGGGAAAGTGCGCCTGCAAGAGCGAGCCAGTCAGGCAGAGGGTGCCCGGAGGGGCCGCAGAGACCGTCGGATTCGCAATGCTGTAGGAAACAAGCGAGCTGGGTCAAAACGGGCTGATGGGGAGGCCCCCTCTGCTCTGCCCTACTGGTACTTCCTACACAAGGACGCAGAGCCCCCCTGGCTCAGCAAGCCTACCTACGACAGTGCCGAGTGCCGCCACCATGCTGCCGAGGCCCTGCGCATAGCCTGGCGCCTAGAAGCTGCCTCCTTGGCTCACCGACCCACACCCCGTTCTGGCCCATCCATGTCCAGCCTGAGACCCAAGTAGGAGAAATAAGGCTGCAGGTGTCGGGACTGACCTGGGCTACGAGCATAAAAAGGGACAGCTGTCTCTAGGCTGGTGTCCCTCATACTCCCCTGTGGACCTGACCAGCTTGAATGTAGGGATGGGGTGGGCACCTGTAGTGCTCTGTCCTTGAGGGTTACAGAGTCCTGAGTTGCTAGTGTTGGTGGGGAAAGGGGTCTACATGAGGCAAAGCCCCCCATCAAGGAACCCAGAAAACAGGTTGTTGGCAGGATGAATGAATGGGAAACCTTGTAGCTGGGTCTCCGGCACCTGGTAGGTGTTGACACCCACAGCCCAGGTTAGAGTATGCGTTCATTGAGGTAAGGGTGGGCGTTAAATCCAAGAGCAGCACATGGCTGATCCAGCAGCCTCTGAAGGGTGCTTGTCATTTTGACCTCCCCGTGAGGAAAGAAACCTGCCTTTAGCCCAGGGCCCCCAAGGGATCTTGCTCCAATACAGGTGGATGGAGTCCTAACAGTGGTCTCTGAAGGGCTGGTGGCAGGTCATAGTGACCGTGGGAGGTGGCCCCTAGGCAGATAGGTCTGATGGATAGACGTAGAAGGGACAGGAGTAACACCAATCTTGGGTGGATAGGGGCAAATGGGAGTGGAACCCAGTGGTCTGTCCGCTACCTACCTGCCCCTGTGTTCACAGTGGCCTGGCTCCTCACCCAGGCATCCTGGGAAGGGGGTACAGTGTCAGGGCTCTATCCTTAATTAGAAGACACTTGGGGTGGTCTGGTGATGGCCTGAGGCCTTCCACACAGAAAATTGCCAGAGTGAGATTGGTTGGTCTGTCCCACCTGGCAGGAAGGGCAGGCTAGTGAATGGTGGGCTCTGTGGACACTTTGCGGCCCCTAGCTCCCATCCTGTGCCAGGTGTAGGAGCTACGTGGTAGGGCATGACTTGCCCTACCTAGTGAGCTATGGTCCAGAACAGCAGTTCTCAGACTCTGGTCTTGGTAGCCATAGAGCTTTCGTTGTACCCTTGGGCTTTTTTTAATTAACCATCTTAATCAAAACAGACAGGTGCTAAAAGTGCTTTCATACTGAAAGAGAATGACAAACTTGGTGCATGCTGGGAAGACACATTTTTGTGAAAAAGAACTTTGGGGGCCAGAGTGGACTTGTCTCATTGTTAAAAAAAACCTGTTTGGCTGCAGGGTGGGCAGGTGGCCGGCTGCTGATCTTGCAGCTGCTGTTGTGCTCTAGCTGCTGGGCTGGGTTAGGGTTGGATTGTATGATTAGAACAGTCAGGGCCTGGGTGCCTAGTGGTCTGGAGGACTGGCCTAGGGACACCCCTCACCCAGGCCCTGGTAGGGCCTGCCTTTTGTGTGCGGAAGGGGCTTGGTGTTGAACATTGTGGTCTTCGGCAGCAGAGAGGCAGTTCATGAGCCAAGCAGGACTGTGAGCCGACCCAGCATGTCACAGCCTCCAAGGCAACCCTGTTGGTTATCTCTGGCCCGGTCCTGGGTACTCAGGCCGGGTAGGCCTGGAGCCTGTGGGGAACGTGAGGCCAGAGATTGACTGCAAGTTTTTCTAGCCACACTGACCTAGCCACTCTTTCCCATCTCAGCAGAAAAATGGCTACAAACTTTCTAGTGCACGAGAAGATCTGGTTTGACAAGTTCAAATACGATGATGCGGAAAGGAAATTCTACGAGCAGATGAATGGGCCCGTGACTGCTGGCTCCCGCCAGGTGAGGACCGAGCTTAGGGCTGACGGAACCAGGTGGGCCAGAGAGAGACACGTTAGGGCCAAGTGGCCCTGTTCAGGAATCTTTAGAAGGGCCTTGGCAGAATGCTGGGGTGCTTCTGCCCTTGGCTCCTGACCCTAACACATGGGACAGCCCACTCTTAATGCTCCCAGGCGGCTGGGGCCAGCAAACAGACAGGTGTTTAGGGGTGGTATGTGGCCAGGCCTCAGCATGTGTGGCTACCTGCAGACTTTGTGTACCCAGACTTTGTGGTCCTGGCCTCAGCCACCTTCCGCTTTTCACTGTCCTGGGAGCTTTCATTCTGTGTAATGCATTCATCTCTCCGTAATGCATTCTTGCTTTTTGAGTGAGGGTTCTTAGAGATTTTGTTTTGTATGGGGGGGTTTTTTTGTGTGTGTGTGTTAAAAAAATTTTTTGACTAAAACAAAAAAGACTGGTTCTTTCTGCACTGTCTGCAGGAGAATGGTGCCAGCGTGATCCTCCGTGACATTGCAAGAGCCAGAGAGAACATCCAGAAATCCCTGGCCGGAGTGAGTACCCACGGCCCGTGTACCCATGGGCTCGTGCTCGGCCAAACAGCATGTCTGATTTTTTTTTTAAACCCTTCAGTACTGCTGACTATTTTGGCCTTTGGAGCAAGTTAGGGCACAGGGTATGGTGCTGTGCTGTTGGAGGGCGTGAATGCTGAGGCCTCCATACCCACATTGCCATGGAAAATGGTCTTTCTCTAGGCTTTTCCATGTCTCTTCTTTCATGCGTACTAGAGGTCACTCTAGCTATTCCTGCAGTGCCTGCCATGGGCTGCCTGGGCTAAGCGGTGTCATTTTGCAGGGTGTATACTGTAGGCACATGCCTTGGAAGCCTGTTCTTCCTGCTTGCTCCCTTGCTGAAGAAGCACACATTCCCCTATCCCTGAGACTACTCTTCCTCCTGATTAGGTGGGGCCCTTCATGGAAAGGGGATAATTATTTAGTGAGGTATGCTAGTCAGCATCATCTTGGACCAGAGAGGGACCCTGCATGGTCTCCAGGTCTCAGACCAAGGCTGGGTATTCCCCATCTGACTCTAGCATTCTGGGCTAGCCGAGGAAGGTGTTCCCTTTAGATGGCAGGCAGACTTGCTCTGTGTTCCTTACTCCAGAGAAGTCAGGACCTCAATCTGTCTCTCTGGAATGGGTTTATGCCCTGGAACAGGTTTTCTGATGGCTCTCTAATGGGTTACCACAACCTACTGCTTAAAGCAATGTGAATTTATCATCGGATGGTCCTGAAGGTCAGAGGCCGGAATAGGACCAAAGGCAAATAGAGTTGGGTTCCTTCTGAGGCTCTGAGCATCCATTTCTTACCTGTCTGCTTTTCTTGGGGCAATGCATGTCCTTTGGCATCTCCTCCTATCAGCCTCCACCATCTCTGTGGCCCTGCTGCATCCCATCATCACAAGGCTCCTTGTGAATATACCGAACCTACCCAGATAGTTCAGGTTCTTGTTTTGTCTTTAAACCCTTCACTGAATCTTGTTGGCCATTTTTGAAAGCATGCTGTGTAAAGCAACTGATTTATAGTCAACAGGCAAATTCCCATTCAAAACAGGGAAATGTAGAAAGGATCACTGGTCCCAAACAATTTCAGACTCCTGCCAGGCTTCCTGAATAGTGCTTTGTGGCCGGCCCATGTGGCCCCTGGGAGACAGTTTTCACCAAACAGCACTGTTGAAGCTGAAATTTTAACAACCTTCCTGCCTGTGGAGGGTAGAGATCTTCAGCCTTTAAAAAAAAAATGTTTTTAATATTTTGTCCTGATTCCCTTTTTGGTCTAAATGAGTGGTGGTTTTTGCTAGTTAATTTTCAAGAACTTTGCAGGTGTACTTTGTCACAGAAATCTGCGCCGTGGCAGGAGGTTCCTCTGGATATTTTTGATCCCATCACATTTCTTAGCACCTGTCGGGATGGCCACGGGAATTCACAAGTCCTATCCGTGGTCTCTGACCTTACAAGTCCTTGCACCTGCCGGTCTACCTAAGGCAGCCACTGCTTCCTTCAACAGTTTGCTTCCCAACAGTGAATTTGTTTCTCTTTGCACTCTAGAGAGGCCAGGAGTTTCCCCAGCTACCCGGCCCTGGCTTTTTTTCTGCTCTGCAGTTTTCCCTCAGTTTCTTCTCTCCCATCAGTAGTACAAAGAAAGCAGGCTATGTCTTCCACACCTGGCCTAGAAATCTCAGCTAGAGCCGGGCGGTGGTGGCGCACGCCTTTAATCCCAGCACTCGGGAGGCAGAGGCAGGCGGATCTCTGTGAGTTCGAGGTCAGCCTGGTCTACAAAGCGAGTTCCAGGAAAGGCGCAAAGCTACACAGAGAAACCCTGTCTCGGAGAAAAAAAAAAAAAGAAAGAAAGAAATCTCAGATAGAATGGAACTTCCTGGCTAGGTGTACAGTCACAGCACTTGGTTAACCTGAGGCAAGAGGATTGCCACAAGTTCGAGATCTGCACTTGGGAAACAAACAAAAAACCTCTCAGCTGAAGATCAGGTTTTTCTCACTTAGAAGTCCTGGAACCAGTGGGACTAAACTCCCTACTGTGCCTCTTACGTACTAAGGCCTGTGCCCACTGCCATCTCCACGTCGTTACGGATTTGTTCCAGCAGCACCCCATTTCCCGTGGCCACGGTCTGGGTTGATTCCTAGTTGCTCCATCAGATTACCACAGCTAGTGACTTAAAATGACACAGATCTGCCATCTTACAGTTCTGGAGGTCACATCTTTAGAGGTATCTTGTGGAGCAGAACCAGGGTGTCCATGGGGTCCTTTCAAAGTCTGGAGAAAACCCACTCCATCTTTCCCACCTGTCTGATCACCCTGCCTCTGTTTCCCTTGTCCCACTGCCATGCATGGAGCATTTAGAGCAGCGGTTCCCAACCTTCCTAACGCTGCGACCCTTTAATACAGCTCCTTATGCTGTGCTGACCCCTAACCATAAAATTATCTGCTACTTCATAACTGTAATTTTGCTACCGTTATGAATCATAATTTAAACTTTTCTGATGGTCTGAGGTGACCCCTGTGAAAGGGTTGTGACCCACAGGTTGAGAACCACTGATCCAGGTCTATTAAATCTGTTCCATCTATTAAATCTGCTTTGCTGTGTGAACTAACATTATAAGCTCTGGAGATTCAAGACAGCCATTTCTAGGGCACTTTTCTACCAGATGGTCAGGAGTGCACAGCCTTTTCAAAAGGCTGCACACTCGTGACCCCTTCTTGGTCCTGCCTGACTTGTGTTAGTTCTCATCCTGTCATTCTCAAATCCAAACCTATGACCCCATGCTCACCCAGTGAAGCTCAGGCTGGGTAGACATGGGGTAAGGGAGACAGATTTGTATAACTGGTCTGGCACATTTGAGCTTCAGCATCCAGAAAGCTGGGTCGTTCTCAGCAGCCATTCACTGTCTCTGGTGAACGTCCCTTGGCTCTGCTGGGCTGTCCCTTGCCAGATCCTTTCCTGCGTCCCAGGCCTGCTGTATAGAATGGGAAAACCCTCAGGTGTTTTGGAAACAGCCCTAGCATTCCAGCCTAGCTTCCACTCACATGCTCTAGTCTTTGGAACTGTCTGGCCCTGCTTGCAGGTGGACTGAAGGTACCTCCCTTCAGTGCTAGCTGTGCCAAAAATCCTACCATAGGGCTCTGCTGCCACATGCAAGTATTGAAAAAAAAAGAGGAAGTTACATTTGTTGTCAGCCTAAATGCTGCTGGGCCGTGTGTTTGGCAGAGGCCTGTGTCTATGTTACCTCTTGTGTGGAGCAGATTCTGCCTCCCTCCTTCAGAAGACGTCCGATCAGGGCCTGCTGAGATCATTTGGGGCTCGGACTTGCATGCAACTTTTTTTCAGAGCGAGTAACCCTCCTGCCTATGAGTGGGACTAACATCCAAGAGCATGAAGCTAGAAGCCTGGGTTTCCAGCAAGGGGAGCCTGCCCTGTGCCCTCCTGAGCCTTCTGGGGCCACCTCAGGAGCAAGCTCACAGGTGCTGGCACCACCCGCACACTCCTTCCTTCCAGCCCTTCAACTGCTTTCCCTCCTGTTTCTAGCTCAAGGTGATGCTGCCCAACTCCCCTGAGGCCCTGGGCCAGGCCACCTCTGGGACTGTAAGTCCTGCTGCTTTCTCTGTTTGGCTCCCTTGTCCTATCCTCTGCTTGGCTGAGAATGTCACAGTGGGCTGTATAGCCATTCTCCCTGAAGACAACAGCTCTTCACTGCTCTCCCTGTCCCTCTTTCTGTCTTGTGGCCTCTTACCTACCTAGGCCTTTCTGTGTTGCTTTTCCAGCAGATCTTGACCAAGTACCATAGGGGACTCATTAAGACTGACTGAGTCTTTGCCAGACCTTCAGCTCAGTCTGGGCTCTGCTTCTGAGTGGCTGTAAGGGGATCCTAGAAGCAGACTAAAGTACTAAGACCAGTGTTTCCCCCCCTTACAGAGCTCAGGCCCTGGGGCCTCCAGTGGACCTGGTGGAGATCATAGTGAGCTCGTTGTACGGATTGCCAGTCTGGAAGTGGAGAACCAGAACCTTCGAGGCGGTGAGGGCTTGGGCCTGACAGGTGGGGCTCCATCTCCAGCCTGTGCTATCTGACTGGTATTCCCCTTGTGCCCACAGTGGTACAAGATCTACAGCAGGCCATTTCCAAGTTGGAGGCCCGGCTGAGCACTCTGGAGAAGAATTCACCTGCTCACCGAGCCACAGCCCCACAGACCCAAGTGAGTACCCTTCCAGACTTGGGAAGGAGCCTTGGACTTGTGGTGGTTGGTGCTGGTTTCTGCCTCTACCTCCTGACTTACCCCAGGCAAGATTGACCCTCAGGGCAGGCTGCCTTGGCCTTCCTGAGGGCTGGCCTTCCTTCAGTTAGCTGAAATGTAGAGAGCTAGACGAGTCTCCACCCCCCTCCCTTCCTCTGTGGCAGCATGTGTCTCCTATGCGTCAAGTGGAGCCTCCAACCAAGAAGGCAGCCACCCCAGCAGAGGACGATGAGGACAATGACATTGACCTGTTTGGCAGTGATGAGGAGGAAGAAGATAAGGAGGCAGCCCGACTACGGGAGGAGAGGCTTCGGCAGTACGCAGAGAAGAAAGCCAAGAAGCCCTCCCTGGTGGCCAAATCCTCCATCCTCTTAGACGTCAAGCCTGTGAGTGGTGGTGGGATGGGCCTCTGGGAGGCTAGGAACAGACCTTACTAGCTGGAGGTGGAGGGTGGGGTGCTGTGTGGCCTGACCACAGGCTCAGGTTCTGAGACACTGTAACACACCCTCCTGACACAAGAACAGAAATGTGGAGCAGGACTCATGCAAATTTGGGGCTATTCCCAAGAGCTCTTTAAAGAAGCAAAGTTGTGTCTTATAGTTTGGGGGGGAGAGGGGGGGAGAGACGGGAGGTCGGGGGATGGGAGGAAGGGGTCATGGGTGTTTAGCCTGGTGTTCTAGAGGTTTCTGAGATGGCTTACTCAGCCACCTCCCCCCATTCTCTCACAGTGGGATGATGAAACAGACATGGCCCAGTTGGAGGCTTGTGTGCGTTCCATCCAGTTGGATGGGCTGGTCTGGGGGGGCTCCAAGCTCGTGCCTGTTGGCTATGGCATCCGGAAGTTGCAGATCCAGTGCGTGGTGGAAGATGACAAAGTGGGCACCGACCTGCTAGAAGAGGAGATCACCAAGTTTGAGGAGCATGTGAGTGGGCATGGGCACCCAGGGGTGGGGAGACCGGGTGGACACTGGGATACTGTTGCCCCACATCCATAGGAACATCCCTCTCAAACCGCACTATGGAGCACGAGCAGGAAGGCCTTTCGGCAATCTACACCACCACCCTTTGTCTCCATCCACAGGTGCAGAGTGTCGACATCGCAGCTTTCAACAAGATCTGAAAGTCCAAGAGTGTGGTTCGTGTGTGTGAGCACCTGTTGAGATTAAAGGCTGAGACTCCGCACTCTGGCTCTTGTATTACTTGGTGTGCCATACTCTGCCAGGCTCTAGCCGTGCTTGTCCCAGCCCAGCCCACCCCTTGCCTCTTCAAACTGTTTGGGCCCAGAAACAGAAGCTGTTGGGCCCATGCTTGTCCACCCTCTGCCTCTTGTCCCTGCTGCTGTGACCATGTGGAGTACACCTAGGCCTGATCTAACAGCCCTCTTGGCTCTCCTTACCTCAGGAGGGGCACAGCAGTTAACTGGAGTGAGGCACATCTTTTATGTTCTGGGATGGTTGGATATGGACAGCCAGCGTACTGTGTGGAATTTTGCCTGCCCATTCCACTTAAATCCCTTGTGGTCAGTGCTTGGGTATTGGATGAAGTAGTGTGGACATCTAGGTGGGGGGATACCATGTGTGACTGTTTCCTGTCAGTGGTGTTCATCATGATCCTTCAGCCATCAGGAAGCAGTGTGGTCCCTCCCCCTCAAAAGCTTTCTGTGGGGCCTGAGATGCAGGATCCAATGAAAACTGTCACCTGAGGAAGGATGACTTAGCAGTTAAGAGCACTGGCTGCTCTTCCAGAAGATGGGGGTTCAATTCCCAGCACCCACATGGAAGCTCACAACCAACTGTAATGTAACTTCAGTTCCAGGGTATCTGATGCCCTCTTCAGGCCACTGGGCATTAAGTCTGCCTGTAGTACACAAACTCATAACAACACTTTTTTTTTTTTTTTTTTTTTTTTGAGAATAAATTTTGCTATGTAGCTTTGGCTGGCCTGGGACTTGGCCTGGAACTTGTTAGAGATCCCCCTGCATCTGCTTCCCCAGGGCTGGGATTAAAGGCATTCACCACCACATAAACTGTCCTGGGACATTGACTCACTATGAGCCTAGTAGCTGGGTTGAACAGACACCCTCCTCACTGGTGCTGCTGGTGGTTGAGTTCCCGTCTCAGACCTGAAAGACAGCTCTGGCCTCTAGGGGCGCCTGGCTTTCCAGGCAGATGCTAACAGTTCTGGAGGTAACCCCATTTGCCCATCCCTAGTCTGGGGCAAGAGGCCAGGGTGAAGTACAACCTGATCGATCACTCCAGCCCTGTTTGGAGTTGCTATTTTGCCGCTGTTAGTTGAGGTCCATTATCCTGTAAGAACCATCGCAGGGGCAAGCGGCTGGCTAGCTGGAGTCAAGGAGGCTTTGGGGTAGGGGTGTGCTGGTTTGGGTCCCTGAAACTATCAGTGAAGGTGGCTCGCCCCGCCCACTGCTGCCGGGAAAGGCCCCGCCTCTGGGTCAGTCAGTTCCCTGGACCAGTGCCCTGGGGGGCGGAGTAGGACGCCATTAGCCAGGCTTGTCAAGCTGCGTGTACTGTGCAGAATTGCCATGGAGCTGGACGGCGAGGGGCGCGCGGTGGTGCGGCCACTGCTCACCGACCTCTACCAGGCCACCATGGCGCTGGGCTATTGGCGCGCAGGCCGGGCATGCGAGGCAGCAGAGTTCGAGCTCTTCTTCCGCCAGTGCCCGTTTGGAGGCTCCTTTGCCTTGGCTGCCGGCCTGCGGGACTGCATGTGTTTCCTGCGCTCCTTCCGTCTACAGGACGCAGGTAGCTCCGCAACCCGCGCTGGTACTCCTCTGGCTGGGAGAGAATCCCGCTCCCGCTCCCGTGCCCTCTAAATGTGACCCTGACCTCTGAGGGGACCTACCTGCACTTGGCTGGCCAAGTCCTCCCCCAGACCACATGTATTCTCTATCATCCCAGACGTGCAGTTCCTGGCTTCAGTGCTACCCCCAGACACTGACCCTGGGTTCTTCGAGCACCTTCGGACTCTTGACTGCTCTGGGGTGACAGTGCGGGCCCTGCCAGAGGGTTCCCTCGCCTTCCCTGGCGTAAGTGTCCTGCGAGCTGGGAGGGTTGGGAAGGGGGGGTGGCCCAGGAGGTCCCTGCTGTGGATCTAATTACTCGCCCCTCAGGTGCCGCTGCTGCAGGTGTCTGGGCCCCTCCTTCTGGTCCAGCTGCTGGAGACTCCGCTGCTGTGTCTGGTCAGTTATGCTAGGTGAGCAGAGCTGAGAGATGCAGGCAGTCGGAAGGTCTGGGGGCTCAGTCGGCCCACTGGGGTGACTTTGCAACCCTCACCTGGGCTCCCCTCACCTGTCACTCTCCACAGCCTCGTAGCCACCAATGCTGCTCGGTTTCGCCTGATCGCAGGGCCGGATAAGAGACTGCTAGAGATGGGCTTGCGACGAGCTCAGGGTCCAGATGGGGGCTTCACGGCCTCCATTTACAGCTACCTGGGCGGTGAGGCCTGGAAAAGGCATAGGTTGGGGAAGGGAAGGTACCACCATACCCGGAGTCCCTCAAGCCTGCCTGCCTTTTCACCCAGGGTTCAACAGCAGCAGCAACACCCTTGCTGGACAACTGAGGGGTGTGCCTGTGGCAGGGACCCTGGCCCACTCCTTTGTCACTTCATTTTCGGGTAGTGAGGTGCCCCCTGACCCGGTTAGTACTGTTTTTGTTTTGTGTCAGGGTCCTAGGTAGCCCCGATTGCTCTTGAAATCCTGATCCTCCTGCCTCCGTCTCAGTGTGTACTTCCATGCTGTGCCCAATCAGTATCTTTCTCAAACCAGCTCTGCTGTAGAGGACAAGATCTCAAAACCAACTCATATCCCACTAGGGTGGGCTGGACCCTGTTGTATATGCTGACAGATACTGCCCTGGACACTTGGTCCAAGGCTGCACTAGAAAGCTGGCGGCGATACGTGGCACCACCTTTGCCCCCAGGCCATGGTATACTGGCCACTCCCAGGTTTTACGCTGTACTCTAGAACCAATTTTCTTTACTAATCTCTTTCTACAGATGTTGGCTCCAGCTTCTAGTGAGGGCCCCGCAGTGGACCTGACGGCCAGTGTCAATTTGTGGCTGAAGCATGTGTGCAGCTATCTGGGGTTGGAGGTGCAGGGGCCGCATCCAGGGGAAAGGGCAGCATTTGTGGCCTATGCGCTGGCCTTTCCCCGGGCTTTCCAGGGCTTGCTAGATTCCTACAGTGTACGCAGGTGAGCTGGGAGCATTCTGTCAGGGTGGCCTCGGTGGAGCCACTGAGCTCCTGATTGCCCTCCCCCGCCCCTTTTTCTTTTAAACATGCAGGAGTGGCCTTCCCAACTTTCTGGCCGTAGCCCTGGCACTGGGGGAGCTGGGCTACAGGGCAGTGGGCGTGAGACTGGACAGTGGTGATCTGCTTCAGCAGGCTCAGGAGATCCGTGGGATCTTTCGAGCTGTTGGTGCCCAGTGAGTTCCCCATGAGGGGTGTGGTGTGCCTGCTGGAAACTCCTTGTGGGAGTCCCAGGGAGATGGGGTTAGGACAAGGAGGGATGGTCTCTCCTGTAGTGAGACCATGGGCCCATGTCAGGGGCAACTGAAAAAGCCCTGGAAGGGTAGGACCATCAGGGGCCCTAAGAAAAGGGCAGGCGTAGGCATGGCTGATGGGGAGGGAGGGAGCAAGGGAAGAGGCCAGGGTGAATCAGGAGCATCTGAGGGGGTGCTGCCTGTGAACCCATTACATGCAGGTTCCAGGTGCCCTGGCTGGAATCTGTCCCCATTGCAGTTAGCAACAACATTGACGAGAAAGAGCTAACACGACTGTCCCAAAAGGTAGAGTGGAAGGGGGACAGTGGAGGGCAGTCTAGGGGGCCCTGGCACCCTACAGGGGGCAGCTTGGCTCAGCGTCACCTCCTCTCCCCACAGGGCAGTGAGGTGAACGTCATTGGCATTGGCACCAGTGCGGTCACCTGTCCCAAACAGCCTTCTATGGGCTGTGTCTACAAGGTAAAGAGAGTGTTTGGCCCCAGGCGGGGCAAGTCTGGAAGAACATGGGTGGTAGGGGATGGGAGTCCAGCTGTCCGAACACCCTGTCATTGCAGCTGGTGTCTGTGGGAGGCCAGCCTCGAATGAAGCTGACAGAGGACCCCGAGAAGCAAACCCTGCCGGGGAGCAAGGCTGCCTTCCGGTTCCTAGGCTCCGATGGTGATTCCCCTCCGCCTCTCCCTTGGTCCTTTTTCAAGTCTCCAGCCCCCGTTTGACGTTATTCTTGCCTTTGCTCAGGGTCTTTCCTACTGGACCTACTGCAGTTGGCAGAAGAGCCCCCACCCAAGGCCGGGCAGGAACTCAGGGTTTGGCCCCGAGGGGCCCGGGAGCCCTGCACTGTGAAGCCAGCCCAGGTGGAGCCATTGCTGAGACTCTGCCTGCAACAGGGACAGGTGACTGCCCCTCATGTACCTTCTTCACTTCAGCTGAGCTCTGATCCCCAGCCAGCATCTCTACCTTCCCTTTCTCCTCCTCTGCAGCTGTGTGAGCCACTTCCAACTCTCGACGAGTCCAGAACCTTTGCCCAGCAGTCCCTGAGCCGCCTCAACCCTGCTCATAAGCAGCTGCAGAACCCTACAGTGTATCCGGTAGGCTTGTAGGTGGCCTGCCCTGTGTGCCCTACGTGCCCCATGCCCCACTCCCCAAACCCAGCTTCCCGTATCCCTCTTTTTTCTCTCCACAGGTTGCGCTGTCAGAGAGGCTGCGGGCACTGGTAGACAGTCTGAGTGCTGGAGGTCCCTTGTAAAAAATCACAGGGGTGGTGAACTGCCAGAAATAACATGACTCACTGTCCCCACAACTTGTCGTGTGTCGTTAGTTCACAGATTTCTGCCGCTCACTTGACTTCCAGGGACTGGGCCGGAATTGAGTTGAGGCGGCTCTGGGACTGCCAGGCAAAGGTTCTGGACTCATCCAGGGATCAAAGTGGCTCACACAGCTGCAGGGGAGGGGAAGGGGAAGGGTAGAGATGCTGGTTCGGGATCAGAGCTCAGTTTCGCTGGGAATCTGGAATAATCGGAAGCACAGGTCCAGCATGTGGGAAGGCAGCCATGGGGCTGGACTGTGGGGACCAGGTCTGAGTGGAACAGCAGGGCCATAAGACACAGAGGGTTTATGTTTACCTCTGTTTTGAGGATGTTATTTTGAAGGCCCTTACCTACTAGAAGCAGATAGGCGGTTCCTAAGGTTGTGGTGAGGTATCAGAGTCTAATATAATAGCCTCAGGCTCCCATATCTACTAAGGACAACGTCCCCCATCAGTAGAGGCATCTCAAGCTTCCCATGCCAGCCCTGCATGATGTTCTAGGCCAATCAGGCCCTGGCCTAGGGTCTCAGCTTCTGACCCAATAACCAAGGAAGGAGGAGAAGCTTGGAAAAGCTGAGGCTCCAGGGGGCTGGCTCTATAAGGGCTGGCACTGCCTGGGCACAGCCAGCTAGGCAAGGCTCCAGAGGAACTGCCCGGGAAGAAATGTCTTAGTCACTGTTCTATTGTTATGAAGAGACACCATGACCACGGCAACTCTTATAAGAGAAAGCATTTAATCGGGGGCTGGCTTACAGTTTCAGAGGTCAATCCATTATCGTCACAGTGCGGAGCAGGGTAACATGCAGGCGAACATGGTGCTGGAGAAGTAGCTGAGAGTTCTATATACAGAAAGAGACACTGGGCTTGGCACGGGTTTTTGAAACCTCAAAGCCCACCCCCCTCCATGACACACTTCCTCCAACAAGGTCACACCTAATCCTCCTTTCCAATAGTACCACTCCCTGGTGACTAAGCATTCAAATGTATGAGCCTATGGGGGCCATTCTTATTCAAACCACCACAGGAGGTTCATGGCTTGGCAGGAGGCAGAGCTGGGGCTTGGGCAACCTGAGGTACAGGAGCTGAGGGTGAATGCCCACTACTTGGAAGACTTCCACATGCACTTCCGCCTGCCCAAGTAGACTGTCAGACCAGTCCATCCAGCTCCCCTGGCTTAGTTCTGGGGAGTGCCTATAGTGTGGTTGGGTGGAGAGGGGATTTAGGGCAGAGGTTGGGTCAGCTTTGGGGAACACGAACCTGGAAAGGGATATCACTGGGAACACAGTATACATACACACACTGCCTAGGCAGCCATGGGAAAAACAGTCTCAGCCGAGGGGTGGAGGACACATGAGCAGACATCTCACCTCAGAACCGTCAAGGATACAGAATGGCCCACATCACAACAGTGGGTACTTGCAAACGTACTTAGGAGGCTTCACCTGCCCTCACCTCATTTGCTCCACACCCCAAGTATCTTAAGTTCAGAGATGATGACAGTATCCGACCACACCCATTCCCAGGATGTCTGACTGTGTGGTAATACTGGGGGCCTAGACCAGCCCCTGACCCTGCTAGAGCCTCCTCAGAATGACCTAAAACTGCTCTGGGCCCCTCCCCCAGATAAGGGGGCAGGCAGTTGGGCTAAAGACCTTCCTCCTCTTTATAGTCCACTATCTCCATGGGTGCTGGTGGGCAGAGCCAATCTTGCCATACTACTTGACTCCAGCAGCCTGGGCAGCAACCCTTCATAATAAGCCCATGCTAGGATACTTCTGTGATTTCCCCAGCCAACCACTGGCGCATGCTCAGACACGCATGCACGGATGTGCCTACGCCACCACGCCTGTCTGTCGGCCCGCCTGTGGGCCCGCCCGGGGCCTGATTCTAGGTCAGGTCTGGGCACACCTTCACTGGAAGAGTGGTGGCGGGTGACGCTGGTAGGAACACCATGGCTGGGGGTGTGTGGGGCCGGGGCCGGGATGGCCCTGTGGGGTCCCTAACTCTTACAGCTCTAGCTGAAGGGATCCGGGCTAACCAGGGGCAGCCTGTGGGACCCTCTTCCACAGGCCCTCAGGCTGAGCCCCCGGAGCTTGGGCCTGAGGCTGAGATCTACCCTCAAACACTCACCCCTGCCTTTGAGGCCCAGCCTGGGCATGAAGTGGTTGCCCCCACAGCTGGCAGTGAGAACTGTTCCCCACACGATGCCCAGGAGCCAGCCCCCGAGAGACCCTACCAGGTGAGTATTGAGGAATGACGATAGATGATGCAAAGTTTGGCTGTTGTTCACTCGAGCACTAGAAAGACAAGAGGTACTGGAGCCGGGGAAAGTATTAAGGGCAAAAGAGGCATAGAAAAGATCACAGGGGAAGAGGGTGTGACATCGGAGGCATGAGCAGGCTGGGGAACTAAGGAAGATAGCTGAGACATGCTCGGGGACTCCATAAACTCCGTGTCCCACGCCTTCCCTAGGTCTCCCAGTATTCCTGGGAGGAAGGAGCCCTTGCAGACCTTGCTTTGTATACGGCTGCCTGTCTGGAGGAGGCTGGCTATGCGGGAACCCAGGCAACAGCGCTCACTCTGTCCTCAGCCCTGGAAGCCAGGGGGCAACGACTGGAGGACCAGGTTAGCATCCTCACCCCCCACCCAGTGAATCCTGCAAGCTTCCCTTCTGGGTAGGAGGAGAATACAGCCTCAACCACACTCCCCCTAAAGGCGATTCTTACTGAGTGAAGGTGGGCGCCGTGCAGGCAAGAGTCTCCTTTTGCATTAAAGGGACCCTGACCACTTACATTTGCCCCCTTTACCCAGGTCCACGGTCTGGTGCGTGGGCTGCTGGCACAGGTGCCTATCCTGGCAGAGGGGAGACCCCGGCGGGCAGCCCTACGGGTGCTGAGCGCACTGGCCCTGGAGCATGCGCAGGATGTGGTGTGTGCGCTGCTCCCCAGTTCTCTGCCCCCGGACCGGTAACCCGCCCCGCCCTCCCAGCCGCGCGGCCCCACGCGGCTTCCTTCCCCCTTCCCGCTTGATTGCTTAATCATAGAATGTGGTCCCTGAAGCACCGAGATGTAAGGGAGCAGGGCCTCAGAATCCCCTCCCTTGACTGTTGTTGCTGCCTCAATCGGTACCCAAGTTTAGTTAACACACACACACACACACACACACACACACACACACACACACACACACACACACACACACCCCTTCCTGCTTTTTCCTGAGGATGTGGATGGGGTAATCAAGCAGGGGTGGCTTGGGTGCTTGGAAGCCTCTGGCTCTTCGTGTCATTTACCCCAGAAGTTATCTTTGGTTTATTCTGTATAATAATTAAAATAGTAGTTAGTAGTAGTGGTAGTGGTAGTGGTAGTAGTCAGGTCTGTTTCCTGTCCCTGACCTAACAGGGCTCAGTGTGGTCCGGATGGCTGCTGATCTCCGGGACTGGCTCTGCTGTGGTCTGCCTTGATCTTCTCGGGGATGTGGGCCAGTGGGAAAATGGATTTACATCAGGAGGCTTTTCCGAGAGTCCTAGTGGTAGTCTTCCTGAGGATTCCATGCAGCTCCTCCTCACTGTGTGGCCCTTCACCCCCAGGGCAGCCGCTGAGCTGTGGCGAAGCCTAAGCCGGAACCAGCGTGTGAATGGCCAGGTGTTGGTGCAACTGCTGTGGGCGCTGAAGGGCGCAGCGGGTCCTGAGCCTGGGGCACTGGCGGTCAGTGGCTCCAGGAGGTGTCCTCAGGGGGGCATGGCCCGGCCACAAAGCAGCCCAAGAGTAGCTCGGGGATGGTGGGACTACAGATTAGCTCCCGAGGCACACTTGGGCAGGAGGGATGTCCTGCACACATCCAAATTTGGCAGAGTTCCAAGGGTGGGCTCCCTTGATCTGCAGGCCACACGCGCTCTTGGGGAGATGTTGGCAGTCTCTGGCTGCGTGGGAGCCACTCGAGGTTTCTACCCTCACCTGCTGTTAGCCCTGGTCACACAGCTGCATGAGCTGGCTCAAGGTGTCCATTCCCCTGACAGCCCCAAAGTTTGGGAGCCTTTTCACCGAGGGCCACCTCACAGCCACGCCAGGTGAGAAGGACAGTGGGGGGAATGAGGGGTGGAACAGGCCCTCCTCACCCTCACTGCCCGCGGCCCTTCTGTTCCTACCTCCAGCTGCACTGTGGAGGCCCTGAAGGCCCTGCTCACAGGGGATGGTGGCCGAATGGTGGTCACATGCATGGAGCAAGCAGGAGGCTGGAGGAGACTGGTAGGAGCCCACACGCACCTGGAGGGTGTCCTGCTGCTGGCCAGGTGAGGAGACACCCCAGGACAGCACAACAGGAGGAGGCTCCCTGCTGGCCAGGTGCGGTGGTGGTGGCATGGAGGAGGTGGTGGGGATGAGCCCTTCCGAGCGAAGGAAGAGCTCCCTTTTGCCCTTCTCCAGTGCCATGGTGGCGCATGCCGATCACCATCTGCGAGGCCTTTTTGCAGACTTGCTTCCTCGGCTACGAAGTTCCAATGACCCTCAGCGCCTCACAGCTATGGCCTTCTTTACTGGGGTGAGCCCGCTTCCCAGAACGGTAGTGAGGGGTGACTGTCGGCACAGACGCAGAGAAGCACTGACTCTATGTCCCTTGCCTAGCTGTTGCAGAGCCGGCCCACTGCGCGGCTCTTACGGGAGGAAGTCATCCTGGAGCGGCTTCGGACTTGGCAAGGCGACCCAGAGCCCACCGTGCGCTGGCTGGGCCTACTTGGTCTTGGCCACCTGGCAATGAATCGTGGGAAGGTGCCAATCTGGTAGCGCCGGGCGGGCCAGGTGGGTCCTAGGCCGAGTCTGGAAGGGTCGGGCCACAGTCCTATCTTTACAGATAAGGCATGTGAACACGCTGCTGCCGGTACTCCTTAGAGCGCTGGGCGAAGGCGATGCACGGCTCGTGGGTGCGGCTCTAGGCGCACTCCGGAAACTACTCCTGCAGCCGGGAGCACCGGTGAGGCTCCTCAGCTCTGAGCTGCGACCACGCCTCCCGCCGCTACTGGACGATGTGAGCAAAATCCTGCCCCGTGGTCCCACCGTGTCCTGTTTGGAATTGTCCATAGATGCGCAGTCCCACCCACAGGCTCTCCCTAGGGTGTCCACCCAGTTGCCTGTGGTCCTGACGTCAGATCGAGGCTTAATCTGAAGCCCCGATCAGCCCCCCACCCCCCAGCCCTCTTACTCTGCACTGACTTTCTCTCCCACTCTTGCTTCCTTGAGCTCTGACTGTATTTTCACATGAAGGCTCGGGACTCTGTCCGTGCTTCAGCGGTGGGACTCCTTGGAACGCTGGTGCGGCGGGGTCAGAGAGGGCTGCGGCTGGGGCTTCGGGGACCCCTGAAGAAACTGGTGCTGCAGAGTCTGGTGCCCTTACTGCTGCGCCTACACGACTCCAGCCGGGACGCTGCTGAGGTCGGTATTCTGTGCCGCATCTGTCTCATCCAGTACTTCCACTCCTGCCTTGTGGCCTCTCTGAAGGTTTCAAGCCGGGGACAAGGACCTCAAGGACTTCGAGGTCCAGGTCTTCTTCCCTTGGGCTGGTGTACTAAGCGCCTCATCCTGGGCTTTTGCCAACCTTTTCTGGCCACAATCCCTTTTCTTCCACCACTTGGCATCGTCTGGACCCCTAACGCGGCTTGTTTCCTCCATTCCAGAGCTCAGAGTGGACATTAGCTCGCTGTGACCAGGCCCTTCGATGGGGCCTGCTGGAGGAGATGGTCACTGTGGCTCACTATGACAGCCCCGAGGCTCTCAGCCGTGTCTGCCACCGCCTGGTTAGTAGAGAAAGCGCCATGACGGAGAGAGGGTATGGTCAGGAGAGAGGGTATGGTCAGCGGCTCACTTGTCCTGGGATTCTATAGGCCACGCCCCCTCCACCTGAGCTAAACAGGACCACCATGCTCCAATGAGGCCAATCCACAGCCTTTGTTCATGCTGTCTGCTCCAGCCTCTTTTCCAGGAGGAATGATACTTCTGTGCTGTCATGATCATTTGTGTTCCTAGGTTCAGCGATATCCGAGCCATGTTAAGCATTTCCTGAGTCAGACCCAGGGCTACCTGCGGAGCCCACAGGACACCTTGCGCCGGGCAGCCACTGTGCTCATAGGTGAGGCAGTCTTACCCAGGTGGCTAGGGCTCTGAGAGCTGAGCCAACCTCTTCTAGGGTTGGGCCAGACCTCACTGGTCTGCTTTGGTACAGGCTTCCTCGTCTATCATGCTAGCCCCAGAGGAGTCAGTCAGGACCTGTTGGACTCTCTGTTCCAGGGTGAGGACTAGATCCGCCATGGGGTAGGGTACTGGAGAGATGGAGGGTGCTGGAGGGGAGTGGACAAGACAGAATGGGTGAGGGCCGGCCCCAGGCTCCTCTCCCATGCATCCTAAGTGCCCCTTTATACAGACCTAGGACAGCTGCAGGGCGACCCGGAGTCTGCGGTTTCCGCGGCAGCGCACGTGTCTGCCCAGCAGGTGGCGCTGCTTGCCCGGGCGCAGGTCCGACCACGCCGCTCCAGCCTCTTACGCTTCATCCGCCATCACTCATACCCTACAAGGCCCCATCCACTCTATGACGATAGTCCGTTCCTACGCCGGAGCCTTGCAGGCCGATGGAGCTGCCCTGAACCTCGGTGAGCCAGGCGCGGTATCCAGATTCATGGGCACACACTATCCATGCTGTGACCTACAGCAGATCTGCAGAAGAGGCTCTGTTCGAGTCACCCTGGGCCTGGTGCTGGACACTGGCGCTCATTGCCCTGAACTATTTTCTATGGGCCCACCATGTGACAGCTGCGTGGCGGATGGCACATTCCATCCCGAGTCCCTCTTGTAGTGTTGGTATTTATTCTCTGCCAGGCCAGTTCTGTCAACACCCTGGAGTGTGCCCTCTGCCCTAAGCTTGGACTTGGTGCCTGTCCTGAGTAGCAGCTGCTTCCCAAGCAAGGGTCTGATGGAGGCACTGAAGTTGATGCCGCCATGCCCTGCCCGCTTCCTGAGGCTCAGTTTGCCTGGCTACAGTCGTACCTATCATGCTTTCCTAGTTACCCCAGCAGTCTGTCACCCCGGTTTCTTCTTCCAGCCGCTATTCCTTACAGCTGTCCTGGGTTATGTCCCCTGTGTCCTTGAGGTTATGTCCTCAAGAGGCATTGACCTGCTCTCCTGTCCATACCTGCTGCCCCTACTCCTTTGGATAACCAATCCATTTCCTACCCCGCCTGACTCATGTCAGAACCACCTGTACAATGGTGTTCTCCAGAAGGTATCTCTAACATCCCTTTGTGCTGGAGAGCCCAAGGCAGGATTGTACCCGTGGGTTGAAGTATGGGAAGCAGGCACTCCACACCCACCAGACTGTGAATGGGTATGTCATTACCCAATGTCCGGTACAGGGCTCAAATGGAAGGCATACTGGACAGACAGCAGGAGTCAGCCATAGTTGTGACCCCCACCCCTCAGCGATTGCCGAGGCAGCTTCCTTGACTTCGAATGCCTACCTTGGAACGTCCTCAGGCTGCAGGGAGGCCTCCTCACAAACACAGGCTATGCACAGGGTGGTCATGAGTGGGGAGCTGTTTCCCCACCCTGGAATCTCTCCGGGACAAGCGTGGGATCCCATTCACCTTTGCTTCCCTGGCTCCTATGTGGAAGGTGTTCAGACTAAACATGACTGGGGTTAGACGACTGTCTCAGAGAGCGGTGTGCAGCAAGACAATGATGGTCAGGGGACTGGGGAGGTGCCTCAGTGGTTAGGGCACTTGTTGCTGCTGTAGCTCCAGTTCCCAGGATGGACTTCTGCAGAAAGCCTTCCCACTGCAAGTCTGGCAGCTAGGGGCTGGATTCTAAACTGTGCCCCTCTTTTTTTCTTTCTTTCTTCCTTCCTTTTTTTTTTTTTTTAATTTATTTTTTTTTAATTTTTTAATTTTTTTTTTGTTTTTTCGAGACAGGGTTTCTCTGTGTAGCTTTGCGCCTTTCCTGGAACTCGCTTTGGAGACCAGACTGGCCTCAAACTCACAGAGATCCGCCTGGCTCTGCCTCTTTTTTTTTTTTTTTTTTTTTAAATGAGACAGGGTTTCTCTGTGTTGCCCTGGCTGGCCTGGAACTTGCTAGGTAGACTGGGCTGGCCTCGAACTCACAGAGATCCACCTGCCTCTGCCCCTCTAGTGCTGGGATTAAAGGTCTGTGCCACTGCCTGGCTTTTTTTTTTTTTTTTTAAGTGTTTTTTTGGTTTGTTTCATTTGTTTTGGTTTTATTTTTGGTGCTCTCCCTTTCCACACAGGCCCTGTTGTAGGCCCAGCCAATCTCCTGTTTCAAATACTCTCACATGGTCCCTTTCACTGGAGATCTCACTAGATCTTCCACCTGGGCTTTGGGTGGGGTTGGCAAGACCTGCCTATGTTCTGCCCTCCAGGACCTAAGGGTCCCGGAAGCGTTACTGTGGTGCCATGCTTTCTAGGATCTGGGTTGCTTCCATTCTGTTCACTCAGGCTTGCCTTCCAGGAGTTTTTCAAGGACTTCTGGGTAAGATGGCTGCCCTGGCTAATTGTATGTCAACTTGACAATAAGGTAGAGTCATCTGAAAGGAGGGAAACTCAATTGAGAAAAATGCCTCCATAGGATCCAGCTGAAGGGCATTTTCTTAATTAGTGATTGATGGGGAAGGACCCAGCCCATTGTGAATGGTGCCATCGCCTGGGCTTGTGGTCCTGGGTTCTATAAAAAAGCAGGCTGGGCAGGCCATATGAGCAAGTCAATAAGCAGTACTTCTCCATGGGCTCTGCGTCAGCTCCTGGCTCCTGCCCTGTTTGAGTTCCTGCCCCTGACTTCCCTCAGTGAAAGACTGTCATCTGGAAGTGTAATCTGAAATAAACCCTTTCCTTCCCAAGCGGCTTTGGTCATGGTGTTTTATCTTAGCAATCGAAACCCTAATTAAGACAATGGCAGAACAGTGGCTGCCTCTGTGAGAGCTGAGGAAAAAGAGAGTCAGAATAAGGAGGCAAAGAAAAGAAAAGAAAAAGATTGTCAGAAACAGCGGAAGTGAAAGGATGGTGGAGGAGAATAAACATGCCACACAGAGGAACATACCTAACCCAGACTCAGCTGCACAGGTCCCGGGGTGGGGGGAAGCGACTGAGAAGCTACTTCCAAAAAGTAAAGGCAGATAAAAGCTTGGCAGTTGAACCACCAGGACAAGCCCACAGCACTCAGGAGCCTCAAACCCACTTGCCATTTTTTGGTGAGGGAATTGATTTCTCTGGTGGATGGTCTGCGCTGAATGAAATCTCATTTTGTTGTGCTTCCGACCCCAAGAGCAGCCATCTTGAGGAGCTGTTGTTAAAAACAGAGCTACCCCGCCCCCAGGGGCCTGAGATAGGGAATAGGTTGGAGAGACTTAATTGGCCTGCCATATCTGGGAGAAGGAAGGCCCAGAAAAGAGGATATGGGGAGCGGGAGGCCCAGACACTAGCTGGCCGAAGTGTGCAGATGGTAGGAGGCTGGTTCAGATCAGAAGATGCGTAAGGGGAAACAGTAACAAAAAACTGTCACCCCTGCACCCCCAGAGTTCCTCTGTGTAGCTCTGGCTGTCCTGGAACTGGCTCTGTAGATCAGGCTGGCCTTGAACTCACAGAGATCCGCATTCCTCCACCTCCAGAGTGCTGTGATTAAAGGTATGCACCGCCACCGCCACCTGGCAACATTTGTGTCTTTTATTTCCCCTTCATTTATCTAATTTTGTAGCTGAGCTTTTTCACTATTGGGAAATCTTGTTTGTTTGTTTTTTTTTTTTTGAGAGAGGATTTCACTATGTATCCCTGGGTGGCCTAGAACTCACAGAGATCTGCCTTCCCCTGCCTCCCGAGAGCTGGTATTAAACGTCCATCTAAATCTATCTTTTAAACTAGAAATAAAGACATGCTAAGGCAAGCACAGGCTAAAGCAGTTCGTGGCCACTGGGTTAGCAGTGCAGAAGACACTTAGAGAACACTATACACAGAGAGGAAAGAGAGCAAACCTCAATTACAAGAGCGCAGGAAAGGATACGTTTCCTGAGAGCAACAGCAGAGCGAAGGACCCCACCAACCCAGTCTAGCAAGCCAGCAATACCCTGATATTAATAGGGAAGAAGATCACAAACAACAATCCAGCTGATCACAAAACAGTAACAGTTAACAAGGGTTTGTTCACATATCTCAAAACTAAGCTACATGGATAAAACGTACCAATGAGGGAGACTGATCAGTGAGATTGTAGAACTAGATCCAGCCGTATATTTTCTCCAAGAAGCACACGTATTGTTCAAGATGTCCAGGGATGACAGTCAAGTAGGGGAAGCAACCCATCAAATGAAAGGAAGCTGAGCACAACTGATATGGCAAATCTCATAAGCTTCCAAACAGAAGTATATAGCAGGCCGCTGGATATTAGTAAGGGGAACCGTCCATCCAGAAGATGTAGTAATTGGAAATATGAATGCAGCGAACGTTGGGTTTCGTCAGACAAACACTAATGGACATATAAGGTCAGATAGGGCCAGATACATTAATAGTGGGTGGTTTCACTATCCCACACTAATCTCTAGATAGGGCATCCAAACTGATAATCAAAGAAACCTCAGTGTTGAACTCTGCAGTAGAAGAACTGGATTTAACAAATGGAATGAGAGACTAGTCCATCCAACAGACGCAGAATACACACTTTTCTCAGTGCACGGTGGAAACTTCTCCAAGACTACAAACCAAGTCTTTCCAAATACAAAAGGATCAAATAATCTCTTGTATTTTATCAGATTACAGTGTAGTTAGGAATCAGTAGTAAGAAAAACAACAGAAACTGTACAAAACACGGAGATTGAATAACACCTTTAAATGACCAGTGGGTCACTGAAGAAATCAAGGAAGGAATTTGAAAATTTCTAAAACTAAGTGAAAATGAAATACAAGTTACCAGAATCTTTGAGATGCAGGTATGCACACACACACACACACACACACACACACACACACACACACACACACAAGTACGCACGTACGCATGCACACAAAAAATTTAAATCAATAGTGTATGTAGTTTTAAAACTTAAAACCAATCTCCTCAAACACAAACAAATAAAAAAAAAAACAAAAAAATGGTGAAAGATCCCATTAATTGTAGCTTCAAAACAAAAAATACCTCGGTGAAAAAGACCCTAGAAGGTGGAAAGATCTCCCATGCTCATTGGTGGACAGAATTAACACTGTGGAAATGGCTACATTACCAAAAGCAATCTAATCTACAGATTCAACCCAATCCCCATCAAACACGTGGTGACATTCTCCTAGAAACAGTAATTCTAGAATTCATATGGAAGCACAAAAGCACCCAGATCGCTAGAGGAATTCTTGGTGGTGCTGGAGGTGTCACAGTACTGGATACTAAGTTTTAGTACAGAGGCACAGTAACAAAACAGACTCAGACCAATGGAGAAAAATGGAGGGCCCAACAGTGCTGTAGAATATTATTTTAAGTTTTTTTGTGTGTGTGTATTTTTTAAGATGTATTTATTTATTATGCATACGGTGTTCTGTCTGCATTTATGTCTGCAAGCCAGATCTCATTGTAGATGGTTGGGAGCCACCATGTGGTTGCTGGGAATTGAACTCAGGACCTCTGGAAGAGCAGCCAGTGCTCTTAACCCTGTTTTGTTTTGTTTTAAGACAGGGTTTCTCTGTGTAACAGTCCTGACTCTCCTGGAACTCACTATGTAGACCAGGCTGGCCTTGAACTCAATGAAATTGTCTGCCTCTGCCTCCCAAGTGCTGGGATTAAAGATGTGCACCACCACCGCTGGACCATGTTAGGGCTTTTTTTTTTTTTTTTGTGTGTGTGTGTGTGTGTGTGTGTGTGTGTGCTCTGGAACATTTGTTTAATGATGCAAAGATGTGTTTGATTAAATATAATTCACCTATGGTCAAGAGGCTGAGTCAGCAACCAGCTGACAGGAAATGATAAGAAGCAGCCCGGTGGAGAAGGGTTTTTACGTAGGGTCGAGGAGAAACATGAGGGCTTTTTGGAGGATGCGAGCAAGGCGAGGAGGTGAGCTACTCGCTATTCAGTCCCTCCGAGGAGCAGAATTCCACCTTAAGCTTTGAATCTTGAGTTCTATAGAGGGAAAGAGATTTAGTTAAGTTCCCTTCATAGCTTTGAAAGAATCAGTGCCTGAGGGAACAGACACCTAATTTTTGATAAAACTTGCAAAAACATACATTAAAAAAAAAAGACAGCCCCTTTAACAAATTGTTCTGAAAAAAACTTGATTTCTCCATGTTAAAGAAGGAAACTAAGCCTGGCATGGTGGCGCACACCTTTAATCCCAGCACTCAGGAGGCAGAGGCAGGTGGATCTCTGTGAGTTTGAGGCCAGCCTGGTTTATATGGCAAGCTCCTGGACAGCCTGAGCTACATAGTAGAGAGACCTTGTGTGGTGATAGTTTGTTATACTCTAACAATAAAGCTTGCCTGGAGATCAGAGTAGGGAGCTAGTCACTAGAGACCAGGCAGTGGTGGCACACACCTTTAATCCCAGCACTTGGGATTTCATGCCTTTGAGCCTGGTACTTGGGAGGCACATGCCTTTAATCCCAGCACTTGGGAGGAGGAAACAGGAAGTGATATGACTGGGCGGAGAGAGGAAGTGATAAGGCAGGGTGGGGACAGGAATTTGGCCTTTTTTTTTTTTTCCAAGACAGGGTTTCTCTGTAGCTTTGGAGCCTGTCCTGGACTAGCTCTGTAGACCAGGCTGGCCTCGAACTCACAGAGATCTGCCTGCCTCTGCCTCCCAAGTGCTGGGATTACAGGCATGCGCCACCA